TATTATTATTATTATTATTATTATTATTATTATTATTATTATTATTATTATTATCTGTTCACAACCATGTAAAGTCAGAGCTGCCAGTTCTTTAGCTAATGTTGGTCTCCATATAGATCAAGTTCTTCCCAGGAATTTAGGATGCCATAATGCATCGGTGTACTACATGGGTGAATCCAAGTGTTGTGGCCTTTTGCAATTGACAGGTAGATGTTTTTTCTTCTTCTAAGTACTGGCCAAGACTTTTTCGTATGGCACCCAATATGCCAATAACAAGTGGAATCACCATAGCTGATTTATACCATACTCTTTCAGTTTTGATTTTTAGATCTTGTTAGTTCGTGTTCTTCTTCAATTCTTAGTTTTATATTCTGCTATCCTCTGGTATTACCACATCAATTTATCCACATTTTTTCTTTCAACCACAGTCTGATGTATTATGAGTTAAGATTTTATCAGTCTATACTTGAAAATCTCATAATATTTTCACCTGTTCATTGTCAACTTCTTTTTCAACTTAATGTTTCCACCAATTTTACATAACTGGTATATGATAAAAAATTTTTACAGATGTTCCAATGAATCAGTTTTGGTGACTGTATTCTGTCATTGATTATAATCAGTTTGTGCCATCTTGCATGAGTGAAGTATATAATCTACTGTTTCTTTTACTTCTTTGCACAATCTGCATTTTTAATCATTTAATTTTTCAGTTCTGGCCTTGATTGCATTAGTACTGATAGCTTGCTCTTACACAGACAAAATGGAGCCTTCAATTTCTTTTTTTTTTTTACTGTTCCAATTATAAGCCATTGCCAGATTTTATTTTTATCCATTTTCCTCTTGATCTTTTACACAAACTGACGATATAATGCTTTTCTTTACCAGCTTTCTGTTCAGGAATTTAATACACCATTTTGTTATTCACTTTATTTCCTGCACATTTAGTACAGGACTAGGTATTTTCTAATGATTTGGGTTCTAAGAGTTTGGGAAGAATGATTATTACTATGCATTGTTAAAAAGGAATAAATAAGTTATTTTAAATTATTTCTTAATTTATGTTTATATGTATGTATATAATTTTATTTATTTATTTTGGAAGTATATCTGATTGGGCATACAAACTGTAGGAGGTGAGATGAAGGAGTTTCGTTAAATGGGATATTTACAAACTGAGGAGTAGGAAAAAGTTAAAATGCATAATCTCCAATGACAGTCAGTGAGAAGGTATGGAATAGGGGTTTGACTCCCCATGACAAAAATTACCTATTTGGGGGCAACCTAGAACTCAGAAAACATAATTTCCTAGAGAGAGATGGATAGAAGCACTACAAAGCTATTTAACAATGTACTTAGAGAAGTAAATGGCTGGGGTTTGCTATAGTAAGTGCTTTTCTCTTTTTTTTTTCCTGAAAAGAGCATTATTCACAGTAAATAAAGCGAAACATCTTGAAAGAGCTTGAAAAGAGCATCTTTGGAATTACTAGGTTAAATCTTGAAGCTTTCTGAACTACTAAATATGGTCTCCTCCTGCAGAGAAAACACCTGCTCACAGCTCGATAATATATTTAAGTCTATTTCACTACCATGACAATTTAATTGAACCCATTCTATAGAAAGCATCATCATTCTCTAGTTTTAGTTTAAATCATAAAATAGCTTTTTGTTGATCATATGCAAGGATTCAAGATCCATAACAGGCTCTGAAAATAAATCTGTACCTTGTCTTCCTGACTTGATTTCTAAGTTTGACCCTTATCCCAGGGTATTCTTTGAAAATTAAAATATATGAACGCTGCCAAAGGGAGCATGCTGTTGCTTACATATTAAACATGAGATTTGTAGAAGATGATTAATTAATTAAATTCTCATCTTTTGTAATTTGTTAGTGTAATATACAAAAGCCCACTTTTTTTCTTGTACATTATCATTGATGTTTTGGGAACGGGAGGGGAACATTTGACCTTCAGTTTCTCACTGTTCTAAATCAAATATAATAGAAAAATAATATGGGCTATGTCTGCATATACTAGCTACTAAGAAAATATACAGCATCTCTATCTAGTGCTTCATTTATTTTATCTAAACTCTAGCAGCCAACAATTGCTTATAGCTTAGACACTATTACTAAAATAAGTCACAAATGATGTATATGTCAGCTTTGGAATACCTATTAAAAGCTGCCACATAGCTGCGGAGGATGGAAGAGGGGCTGTTGTTGTTTGAATAGTTTTCAGTAGACAAAATAGATATGTAAGACCATCAAGGTCATTCTCTATGGTGCAGCAAGAATTGTAGCTGAAGGGTGATTGGTTCACATGATTTATGGTGTGAAAGAAAAGGGGTGGGTGTAGGTTGAGTTTTGTGGGAAGTCTGGGAGGAAACTTTAGTTTCGGAATTTCACAGACATGACAAGTTTCTGTTTTAATAAAGCACTTTGAGATAATGGTTGTCTCGGAGTTACTGATTGAAATGGACAAATTCTGGAACCCTCACATTATTCCAAAATCACAGTATACTGCTTCTGATATATGTTCTTTTGGTATAATCCATATAATGCTTCTGATATATGTTCTTTTGGTATAATCCATATAATGCTTCTGATATATGTTCTTTTGGTATAATCCATATGAATAATACTTTAATCAGCCTTTCCCAAACCTGAATCCTTCCAGATACGCTTGGACTTCAATTTCTAGATTTCTAGTAGACAAGTGAATGATACCAGACTGATGTAGGAACCTGTGGACTCTTAATGTCTCTCAACCTATTTCAGAGGTTCATAAAACAAAAACCTATCTGTACATCTCAAAGTAATTTCCACTGGGATATATTATCCTTTTTTTTCAGAGGACACATCTATTGAACTTAGCCTTTTTTTGGTGCTACCTTGTTTTAAACTGGGGGAGGAGGAAGGAATGGCAAGACAGATTATCTTTCTTAGTGTGGTTGTTCCTCCTTCCAGCCAAGGTTGTCATTCCTCAGACATTATCCTAGGTTTATGAACATCATAATCAGATCTGTTAAACACCTTGCCTTCTTCGGCTAATCATATTGGGCCACCAGCACACATTTATCCCTTAGGTTTTCTCTTGTTGACTTCCCCCTTTTTTCCCTTCATATACATTGTCCTTTAAGCAACATTTGAGTACTCACTATTACCAGTAGATTATTATAATCTTAAATTCAACTACCACTAGACTGCCATTATATAAATCCTCAAATGATTGGCCCAAATGGTCATGTTCTACTGTACAACCATGCAAAAAAAAACAAAAAACCCAAACCCTGTGTTATAATTCAAATGTTTCAATCAAACATTCCTCTTGTTTTGATACTGTCTGAATTATGTTGGCTTAGCTGTTTCAAGAAATGTATAAATATTGTATATATCTGTAGACTGCTTTTGTGATTAAAAAAAAACAAGCTTGCTTTTAGAGGTAGTCCTTGCCAAACGACCATTCATTCAGTGACTGTTCAAAGTAGCAAGGGTGCTAGAAAGTGTGACCTACCATCAGCCTTTGCTCTTTTTACAGCATTCCCACACTCATGTGATTGTAATTCAGGCACTTGGGAACTGTTGTGTATTTATGAAAGCCACAGCATCCTATAGTCACATTTAAGATGTTCCCAACTGGCTTCTGACAAGTAAAGTCTGTGGGGAAGCCAATAAGAAAAAACACAAATTGTAGTCCCGTGATGCCTCACTTAATGATACCGCTGCTTAACAATAAACTTCCTGGCCCATAATGGAGTTGTAAGTCAAGGACTACCTGTACTTTTAACTCCACCTCTATCTTTTCTTAACATTGGTTTGAAAGAAGGGGGGGGGGAGGAAATGATTTAGTGAGAAAAAGACTGTCTGGGTTTCATTGGTTGCAGGCTCTTCCAGAGGACCCAGCCCCTTAACAATGGGTGCACAAGACACCCTCCCTGTAGCTGCAGCTTTCACTGAAACTGTGAATGCATACTTCAAAGGAGCCGATCCTAACAAGTGAGTGTTGTGCCCTTTCTTCCCTTCCTCTTCCCTTCCTCTTCCCATGTAGTTGGCAATTCAGGATTGGATTTATACTACCCATTTCCTCTGGAATAACATTTGTTCACAATATAGCAACAAATCTAGAGAAAATGTTTGTCTTCATCAGATGTTTGGGGGGTGGAATGTGGAATGGCAATGGGACATAATCTTTTTTTTTTTAATGACAGTCTTTAAATGATAGTTTTCAAGTTTAATTTATATTGTTCCTAATCCCAATTTGTCAGAGTTCTCAAGATACCACTTAACGTCCAGGGATTAATATGCCACTTAATTCTTCAAATATCCCTTAATATCCAGGGATGACAAATTAGGATCTAATGAACTTTCTCATGAGTGGAAGGAGATAATGAACTGTATTAGAGATTTTATCTTACTCCCCCACCCCCAATGCTATCAGTCTCTGGGAAATCATCTGGAGCAAATTTCCAATGCATAGGAGCTAGAAATAGGAGAGCAAGTGCCATATTTCTCCTTCTGTCTTTTGTCCTCAATAGTACACTTAGTGACATTCTACTCTATGCCACTCCAGATTCAACCCAGAGATAGTTTCCTTAATTTTGGACCACATTTTCAGAATCACTAAAACCAGCACAAATCCATCCTAAAGCTACTTTAGGCCATATGATATAACCTTTCATCTTTACGACATACATCATTTCTGTTCATGCTAAGTTAGATAACTCAGAGGAACATAATAAATCAAAGAGTGTAGCCTCATACATTTCTCCTAGCCATTGATCTTTCTTTCTAAAAACTGCTTTCTAAAACATTTGGACTACATTTTGTAGTCATTTTTTTCAAAGATGAAAATTGTGGATATAACTCAGTTTGTAATTCTGACATGTTTGAAGAACAAATTTCTGAACACCATTTTTCATGTTTCAAATGAGTGTATGATAGATTAATTCTATACAGATGTCTGAAGCGAGAGTAGAATATGCTGAAAATAAGTAATCAAACTGTACATATGTATGTTTTGATTCAAAACTGGCTAGTTGTGCATAACTTGTGTGCTCTTTTTCTCTGCCTGCCGTTCTTTTGATTCTGAAGATGTATAGTAAAAATTACCGGAGAAATGGTGCTGTCATTTCCTGCGGGAATTACTAGACATTTTGCCAATAACCCCGCTCCAGCTGTTCTAACATTTCGTGTGACAAATTACAACAGATTGGAACATGTTTTGCCAAATCCACAACTTCTTTGCTGGTAAATATCATTGTAATAAGTTTTTTTTTTTTTACAGGAAATAGCCATTTTTGCAACTTTTGCATAAGACTTGTTTATGGCTTAAGTTATTGATTTATAAATTGATTTTTAAATTGCATTGAAACCCTTTTTTCCCTGCTATTCTTTGAAAAGGCACCCAAATCAAACTGGCTGTAGTACAGCGTAATACTTAGGTTAGGTTAAAATTAGTTTTTAAAAAGCATGAACACTATTTCAGTACCCAGAAGAAAACAATCTGTTACCCTAAGAGACTGTGACATGGGTCTATAGGTCGTCTTTACACCACTAGATCACACATTGTGTTTTTTATTTCCCCTAGCCTAAAGAAAAATTCTGCAGCTGGAATTAACTATAATTTTAATACAAAGCTGACAAATGTTTTATATTGATGAAAATGGCATGTGTTCTTCCTGTTTTAAATTAATGCAGTGACAGCACTCATGCTGATGCCAACACAAAGGAGTTCTGGGTAAACATGCCAAATTTGATGACTCACTTGAAGAAAGTGTCTGAACAGAAACCACAAGCAACATACTATAATGTGGATATGCTTAAATACCAGGTATGAGCTCCTTTATGATCTTGCAGAGTCTATAATCATAGGTTAATCATAAACCTTTCAGGTGTTCATTACGAAGCATTTCTCTCACACTCTTTTCCTGTCTGTGTCTGATGGCTCATACAGATACTAAATGTTCTTTCTGTCTTACAAGGTATCAACACAGGGTATTCAATCTACTCCACTGAATCTTGCAGTGAACTGGCGGTGTGAACCCACAAGCACAGATCTACGCATTGACTACAAGTATAATATAGAGGCAATGACTACACCAGTAGCTTTAAACAATGTACAGTTCCTTGTTCCTATTGATGGTGGAGTGACAAAACTACAAGCTGTGCTTCCACCTGCCATTTGGTATGAACCAGAGGTGTTCCTTGCCTCTTTCTTATTCCATCAATGCACTTTCTTGGTAATTGAAGTTGAGCAAAGCCTTTGGAAAGCCTGGAATAGTCTTGTCAAGCTATAGCCATGAGGAGCCATATGCGGATTAAAACTTTGGCATAACTTTGTCTATATAAGTATTTAGCATTTTAAGTCTGATGAGAAAGAGGGAATGGCACTCAGAAGAAGCCATCTCTCTTCCTTTGGGGGTTTATTTTTGTGTTTAAGATATTTCTTGCATTCTTATTTGTTTTTGTGTTTTTACAATTGGAAATGGCCCAGAGTCGCTAGGAGTTCTGTGGCATGTATATTCGATAAATTATTAATAAGGGTTTCAGACTTTGTGGAAGTGCAGTACCTCGCTGCAATTTATTAAAGCAGCCATGCCTGTTTTTCAGGCTTCTTCACCAATGGGCAGGTGGGGGGGAGGGGAGGCCATGACTTCAATGAGTCAACTCCTTAAGGCAATTTTTAAACAGAAGCTTCAAAAAATACACAGTTTGCTTTGATGCAATATTTTTCAAACTGTGGTTTCAGGAACCCTAGGAACCCACTCAAGGGCCCTCAATATAAAAATTATTTGCCAGCCAATGTTGAAACACAGTACAAATATTTTAAAACTCCATCAAAAAATCTTGAGAAAGGCAGTGAATGTGTCATTTTTAATATTTAGTTCAGTAAACATCACTGAATATAACATCTAGAAACAAAAGCTCCGTAATTTGTAAAATTGATCCCTGCTTTAAAGAGTTTACAGCTAGTAGTAACAGTGATGAAATTTCTTTCAATGCTTTCAATGCCTCAGCATGAGGAAAAACACAGCAGACAGATTGCTGAGAAATAAGAGAGTAATTGACAGAGTGGGAACAGAAAGAATTACCTATCTATCCATCTCTTTTCTTTTTAGATTTCCTTTGGCAAATCTCATTGTAGACTTAATTGCAGGAAAGTAATGGACAGGAAGTGGTCTATTGTTGCTATGGTACTATTTGTATAACAAGTTATTGATTCAGATATATGTACAGAATGCAAATGGATATGGAACTTCCTGAATTCTTAATATTTTAGTATTAACCTTAAAATACAGAAAATAAGTTTAACAAAATGATTTTACAGCATGGCATGCTAAACATCTCAAATTCAAAATGCTTTAGGTTTTAAATAGTACTTCTGACCACTGTGGAAGTACAGTATTTTAAAATAAAGACAACTCTATTTTAAGTTTGAAACAGGACCATTTTGAGCAAAGAACACTTCCAGACTAGAACAGTTCTAAGCTTGAAAAATCTGCCTGGAGCAGTGATGGCTAACCTTTTCATCCTTGTATGCTGAAAGTGCGTGCGCACACGTGCCTGCACCCATAATGCAATGCATGTGCGACCCCCCCAGCCCCTGCACATGCACTTGTGACCCCCCCACATGCACCATGTGCCTTTGTGCATGTACATGCAATACTCCCCATGCATGCCACGTGCCTCTACATGGCAGATACCTGGCAATCAGCTGGCTGGCAGGAGGCATGCATGCATGTGCAGTAAACCTGATCTGGGGCAACGGCTTGTGTGCTGGCAGAAATGGCTCTGCATGCCATTTTTGGCATGTGTGCCATAGGTTCGCCATCATGGGCCTATTTTATTTATTTATTTATTTATTTTGTCAAGCGATTATAAAATAACAGGTATATGTATAAACAATTATGAATACATGAAATGGATACATATAAGAAAAATAAAAAGAAACAATGGGACAGGGATGGTAGGCACGTTGGTGTGCTTATGCACGCCCCCAGCAGACCTCTTAGGAAAGGGGAGAGGTCAATAGTAGACAGTCTAAGGTTAAAGTTTTGGGGTTTGGGGAAGAAACCACACAGTCAGGTAGAATATTCCAGACATTGACCACTCTGTTGCTGAAGTCATATTTCCTGCAATAAAGTTTGGTGCGATTAACCTTGAGTTTGTATCTATTGTTTGCTCTTGTATTATTATGGTTGAAGCTGAAGTATTCATAGAGTAATCCCACGACAAGATGGGTGGAAAATAAATTTAACAAATAAATTCGTATCTCACATTCAAAACCTTTTGCATAGCCTTACTCTATCTCCTTATTCAGCAAAAAAAAAATAACTGAAGCTATAACATAAACAAAATTTAGTTAGATGGATTGATACTTAATTTGCTTACTATATATACTAGAATGAAATACAATTTTTCTGGAAGTATTTTCCAGTGTTCTCTATACCATTTTTTGTCATATTTTTAGGAATACTGAACAACAAAGGATATTGTGGAGAATTCCTGATATTTCTCAAAAATCTGAAAATGGAGGTAATCATACAAGTTTATATTGCTAGTGAAACTTTCTTCTCCTTCATCATTCTTTGACCAATCACTCATATCTCTTCAAGGTCCAGTTAGTCTAATAGTTAAAGTATTCAACTAGAAGTAGACTAGAATAGAAAGCATAGAAAATATATGATGTATACAAACAATACAAACTACGTTGCTATGTAATTCAAAAATATATTCAGATGTTGAACAATTATCTTTGTAACATCCAGTTAACAATTTTGTGAATATTAAACCAAAATGGAACACTAATTGAATAAGTCAATGTTATTTGAGTGCCTAAATAGATATAAAAATAAACTTTCATTGAATTACACTTATTTTAACAGGAGATAGATTTAGTATTTCTGAACCATGGACTGATTCTATGATACCAAACACTTTAGCCTGTTCCAAAGTTTTCAAACATAGTTTAATTTATCATAGTAGTAACATCTTTGTAAAATTTACATGTTGTAACAGTTATACTGATGTAAGACTATTAGATTCATCCAGTGTATCTGGGATAAATTGTGAATTGCAAAAGATACAGTAGGTTAATTGAAGGGTGTCCAAACTTGGCATGCTGACTGTGGAATTCTGGGATTGAAGTCCACAAGTCGTAAAGGTGCTAAATTTGGAGACCCCTGGGTTAACTGAATACTCTACCATTTTGCAATTTAGAGTATCTTAAATTCCTCAAATAGTGGCTCAAATGGCTTAAAGCATAATTTGCAATAAACTGATTTAAAGCTTGAATACTAGTTACCCATACCTTAAAAAAGGTTTACAAAATGTTTTCAAACTTCAATTATCTCAGGGCATAAGTTTGTCATGTGAAAAGATTAAGATGCAATCCAAATCTGATGTTACACCAGTATTTTACTAATGGGCCTTCTATAGTCTAGGCACAAGACTGCATTGTTTTCTATATTAATGTTATTTTAATGAATCTTCTGTCTAAAGGGGTGGGTTCCTTGCTTGCACGATTCCAGTTATCTGAGGGACCAAGTAAACCTTCACCCCTGGTTGTGCAGTTCACCAGCGAAGGGAGCACTCTGTCCAGCTGTGATATTGAACTTGTTGGATCTGGCTATCGTTTTTCACTTTTAAAAAAGAGATTTGCAGCAGGTAAGGAAAAGCTAAATTCTAATTTTAATATTCCTAAGGTAATATTAATGATCATTAAAGGCCTATCTCAGATTGTTGGGAAAGGTTCAATAGGAAAAATGCCAAATTCTGTCTAAACATCTGTTTTAGACCAATAACAATAATAATTAATAATGGAATTGTATATCAACAACAAGAAGAATTGGGTTACTAGATGTGATAAGTGTGGTGTCAGTGTCATTTGCACTTAGTCATCAGGGTGTTAGAACAGGGCTGTCAAACTCCCAGTCCATGAGCTGGATGCATCACGCACCGGCCATGCCCACGCTGGTTTAACGAAGGGAGGGAAAGTCCTGGTATGTCACGTGACACCACCGTGATGACGTGAGTTTGACACCCCTGTGTTAGAAGGTACCTGGTCAAATCTACCAACTTTGGATTTCATAAACAATGACAGCCACATATTTTAATTCATAATTCAACTAGTCAAACAAGTCAATCAAACACTGAACTGCAGATGTGCAGGCAAAGAATGCAACTTCTCTTTCTTGCTTATTTTCCCATTTGTCTTCTCGTGTACTTCTTCTTAGTCTATAAAGCAGATGGAGACAATTAAAGCATGAAGGTATTATCAGATAATTGTTTCAACCAAGTTCAGTGGTTTAATATATTACTTTTTCATAATTTGCTGAATCAGGAAGCAGGCCAATGTTCTCCACTGTAGTTCCGGTTGTGTGAACTGGAGCTTTGTCAACTTCAGCACATAGAAAAGATACCATCTGGAGAAATATGGACTTAGGTCACATCTTGACCATTTTTATTTAGGACATTTATTAGTGCTGAAAACATGCCTTTTATTACTTCATTAAGTTTATTTTGCTTGACCACCCTGCCCCGCCCCGCCCCGCCCCGCCCCGGCCCGCCCTGCCCCGCCCCGCCCTGCCCTGCAGAGAATATATGTGGTCTGCTTTTCTAGTTTTTGCTTCTTTCTTTTCTAAAGTGTAAGATGTCCAGAAACATCTGGAGTTGTGTAGCCTCCAAACTGTATCAGTAAATGAGTAAATAAATAAATATATCTATACTTCTTCCTCCTGCACCACAAAATGGTACAATGAAGTTCATGTTTTATGATGGGCTCATCAACTATTTAGACCTCACTTTGATTCTCATAATTTAACAGATACTATATTTAGTTGGCAAAAGTATATTTATAAAAAGAAATATAGGCCTTACAAATGTGATTAACTTTCCTTTTTACCTGCCTTTAATCATTTTTACAGGAAAGTACCTGGCAGATAACTAACCGAAGTATATGCAAGTATGTTGAAAATCCATATAGCTGAGGACTGCAGTGGTTGGATGGTTTTTATATGCTGTTGAGGGAAAACGAACTGAATCCTGTATTCAGGACATTTCTGTTGAAAGCATCAGCAATTCAACATTTCTCTCTCAGAAAATGCCATGTTGATCAGTCCTACAGTATTTACTTCTAGATGTAATATTGTTCATGTTTTAAATTGTAATTATTGTATTTGTAAATTGTACTCATTCTAGTAAGGCTGTATTTTGGCAGTTAGACACTTGAGTTTTAGCATTTTATCGTCCAAGAAATGGGTGTAATTTAAACTGTGATATATCTATAAATTTAATAGTAGTAATGCTGAATGAGACAAGCTTTCAGAGGCAGATGCATTTTGTCAATGTATACAATTTGAACACAACACTAACAGCTGTGGGAAAAGGAGTGCCTCAAAAAGAATGTCAAAATTAGCTCACCTGCAAATTCATTGATTATGTTTTTCAGTTCACAGCATATGTCATACAAATATAGTCACATAAATAAACAGATATTACTTTAAGTATTTAATTGGTTTAACTTCAGAACATCTCAGAGCAAATGTTGAGGTGATTATGATACAAATGTAGTTTTTTGCTTTAAACATTCCTATCATGTCTGAAGTAAGTTTAAAAGGGGGGCAGGGGAAGAAATTTTTGGATAACAGAGATAAAGCTTGTACTGAGATAGCTGTTTCTTTTTGTTAGTCTATCATGAGTGAACATGAAGGTAAAGGAAGAGCACAATGGTTTAGAAATATTTCTGCTATGCAAGCTCTATGCAGCCTTCCTCAACCGGTACCTTGCAGATACGCTGGACATCAGCTGACATGCGAGCACCGGTTTGGGAAGTCTGGCATAGAAAAAGGAAGGAAAGCACAGAAAAGGCAGCAAGGTGCACTTCCCACTATTTTCACTACACCTGGTGCAAGGGGAAGCTGACTAACAAATAACCAGCAATGAAGAGAAATCCTGTGGTGGTGATTTTTTTTTTTTACCTGAGCAGGCCTCTGTTTTCATGGATGTGCTTACAGGACAATTTGCATGCCAAAAACTGGCTCCGACCAACGTTGTGTTCTTCAGCTAGATTTTAACTTATGTGTAGGGAAACAAGAACTTCAAAGAAGCATGTCTCTGTGTGTGTGTGTGTTTGTGTCTCCTGCACACACATTACACAGATATCATCCATACATATCAACATTTGTAGCCTGGCTGATTTGAAAGCTAAAAAAAAAAGGAAAGAAAGAAGCCATTTGAACAGCAAAGAACAGGTGACAGAAGAATTGCTGGATTTTTGTTTCTGTTCCTTAAACACCAGGATACTCTATTTCAAACAGGTTTCAAATTGCTAGTCAGTGTTACATGTCATAGGAGGGTTTGAAAAAGCAAAAGATTTGATTATACGTTGCTCACGTACTAGGTGTGTAAATAAATGCTGCACATCTATCTGTTCAAATGGTACCTGAACTGTAGCTGAATGCAGCAGAAATAACGAATATTGTATGAGAAGTCATTGTAAGAGGTGCAGAGTATCTGTTCTGCTATTTTCTGTGCTTATGACTAGTATTTTTATAAACTGTGGTCTTACTAGGTTGGCATCCAACTGTCTCACTTGCATGTGAAAATAGCTGTACTTGACAAGCAGCTATGTCTGCATTAAAACAAGCAGACAAAATTAAAGGCTCTATCTGGACATAAATATATTTGTTTATCATCCAATATAAAAAATATATATCTTGCAGTGATAGAAATTGAAATCCCACATTCATCAAATACCTTGTTTTGTTAGTTCCTTTTAGTATGAGTCTTGTATTTGAAAACTATAGAATTAATTTTATGGAAAATATAATATACAATCCAAAAAATATGTCCCCCACTTCAATCTCAATAATAAATATGATAAAGATTGATTTTTGCTAGAGCTCTGCATGGTTTCAAATAGATAAGTTATCTTTGTGTTTATACTTTGCATTTTTGTAAATCTTACCATGTTTGCTCTTTCCTCTGAAAGTGAAATTGGCCTATTGCTAGCATTTGTTACTCAGTATCACAAAAGCTTGACAAAGGGAAGCACATTTCTGCTTCCTTAATGAATAGAGAATTTTTCTACTCTGGAATTGTTTTGTTTTGTTTTACAATGCATACCAGTTACCAGGTAATTGAGTCTCTATTGGCCATTTCAGGTATCTGTTGCATTTCCTAATTAGTGCCAACAGAAATTTCATATATTCTGATTTGAACTAAAAACTTAATTTTATCCAAAGGAAATAATTTACTTTTAAGTAGTTATTCAAATGTGGAGAACCCCTTCCATTTTTCAAAAATATAACATTAAAGCTAATAAAGGAGACTGAAAATCTTTAAACTCTTCATTGATAAATATGAAATGAAAATTCAGTTTAAATTAAAATAATTTGCAAAATTTGTAATGTAAAGATTATCTCAGAAAGATTACATAGATTACAAGAAAGGTGTTGAAACAACATGACTTATAGATTTTATTTTTGCAATGAATTGGAAAATAGGCATTACATTGCATCAATAGCATCCAGCAAAAAAAAAAAAAAATCTCATCATTTTAACAATTTAGCCACCAGAGATATATTTGCCGACATTTCTTTAGAAAGTCTTGATTTATTCCTGAAAAAAGAAAAATAGTTATTGAATCTTTAGCCAATTACACAATTCTAATTTTTTTACCAGACTTAATAGAAAAAACAAAAACATCTTATTGAAGCTTGATTTATATATCTGTTTAATCTCAAATAGCTATAGGCTTTTTTGGTTGTTGATGATACCTGTTTCCTTAGTACAATTAAAATTATTAATTAGGATTATTAAAAATATGAATAATGTAATGAAAGACAAGTCTTTTTTTAAAAAAATCTGCTTGTAGATTGTTTCTGAGCTTATTTACCAAAAATAAACTTCCAAGTAGAAGTATAGCTTTCCTCAAGTTGGGGCTGTTCAAAGGTCAATTCCACAAAATTCATGGTTTGTGGCTCTACTGACGGTATTCTGAAAGTGGCTATTGTAAACTATCAGCCTTTAAAATCTGGGAAATAAATTAATAAGCAGAGAAAAAGTCACAGGTTAAAAGGTTGTCATAAATAATTGTTCGTTAGTAACAATATAACAATGGACAAAAACATAAGTATTGCTCTTGCTTAGTGATACGATTGTTCTTTACAAACATCCTTCTCCTAGTGCAGGTGTCAGCAACCTATGGCTCTGGAGCCACATGAGGCTCTTTGGGCCCTCTGCTGTGGCTCCCTGTTGGGTGATCCCACCAGTGGCTGGCCCCACCCCTCGCCCTCCCCTCCTTGAGAGTGATTGGGCCTAATCATGCCTAAGAAGGT